GATTCTTGTAAAATGAACTTATAGTATATATATAAAATCTCACGCTTCCCTAATAATGTTTTGAATAATTTTCTAAAGAGTGATATCAACACCTATTATTACAATCACTTTCCTACTTGTAAATTACAATTTGGAATGTCATGGTTTATTTCATATCCAGAGGGTGCTCAAATGACTTCTGACAGTATTATTACTGTTCTGATCTTGAACTGAAGTACAGGTCAGCTTTGTTTAACTCACTGTTCTCAAGAGCCACAAACAAGCATGCAATTAAATGGGTTCCATAAGTTAATTAGCACAAAACTAGCACAAAATGGGCAGTGGAGGAATTCATGAGTTGCCATGCCAGATCGGATTAAGAGATATTTTAGACAAGTAGCTTGAGTTTAATAATGTCCAGTGGGGTTTCGATCACATGCTTGGAGTGAAGGAAGTAATTGTATCATTTATTAAATAGGTTGTAGTACATTTCATCTTCTGCTAGTTCTCTGTATATACCTTTGCTTTCTGAATTTGGTGTTGATATGTATACTTACTAGAGGAAAGAAAATGGGAAAGTAATCCTTTCTTAATATACATAATCATGAAATCACTAATGCTTACTTCACCCTTTTTACAATCTCAAACTTTCTAGAAGTGATACAACTTGGTTGTCCAGAATTTTATACTAACATAATTGAAAGCGAACCTACTAAACAATTTGGGAGTTACAAATATCTGGATGACATTAGTTTGGAGAACACCTGCTTATGTAGTTATCTCATTTCAAAATTATCCAAAACCAATTCTAAATAATCAGAAGAATTCGTACTTCCATGTATTATTGTCAAAGAAAGCATTAAAAAATATATAATGATATTCATAGCAATACAGAACCAAAACATTTCAAAACCGTACTTTTTAAATTATTCTACTGATTATAATAAAGTGATGGACATATTTATTTGCAACTACATAACCATGTAATGTATTTGGTTAGATCTAAAGGTATTAAGGTTATATTTTAAGGGTATGTAAAACATTTTGAACTTAAATGTTTTCAGCTTGAAACACACTGTTTCAATTTGAAACAGTTCTTTGAAATATTTCTGAAGTTGTTTTGAATTTGAAATAGAGAGTTTCAGGCTCAAAACATTTTTAATTTGAAATATCATGCATACTTCTATTGTATTTTCATTTCATTTCTAAGACTGATGTCAAGAAGAGCTCCTAATTATTCAGAGACTTCTTCCTCAGGCTTCAGTTGATTTTTCAGTCTTGAACTACACATAAGAAACTGTCTCTAGAGAAGTCTTTGTGAGGAAAAATCATGTTGCTGGAATGACTGGAACAAAGAGGCTTGAACGATCCTATTCTTGTCATGTTTGGGACTCAGTTCCACTCTTCATAATTCCTTTTCATCAAAGGGAGCAACAGTAAGCAGACAATTTCTTTTAATGATTAATGCTAGACTGGTGAGCCTCCCAGATTTCAACTGAAGTCATCCATTCACCAAATTAGTGAGTATTATTATTCTTAGCATGGAGAGGACCATATTTTATCTGCCCAGTATTTAGCTAAAAAGCTTGAGCATCTTATGAGGAAAAAGGCAGAGGTTGCAATCTTAATCAGTGCCAAAACAATGGTGGAATGCACCGAGATTAAACCCCAGTTTTTCAGACCAAAGTTTTCAAAGCTCTCTTGATAGAAGTCTCAAGTCACTTTTGTTTTCTGACATGGCTTCCTAATTTTATTGTTCTTTTTCTATCTAATATATGATTTTAAATTATTGTTACTTACATCTCTATGCCTCTCCACTCTGTCTGGCTCTGAGCAGTGTACAACAGAAAGATTAAAAACAACAAAAGAAATAATAGCAGCAGACCCAACAAATCTTAACATCCCCTAAATGTTTTCTTTCCCAGAGCCAAATTTTATCTCTCTGCAGAAACTCATCAGGTTGGTGGTACTTTGTACATAAAAGGACAAACTATTTCACAGGAAGGGAACCACTGTTTTGAAGGCCTGACTACAGGATCCTTGCAGATGGAACTCCATAGGGAACAGGACCATCTCCAGGGTCTCTCTCCTGATCTTATGGGACAGGCAGATTTATTTCACAGTAGATGGTCTTGGAGATAACCAGGCCCTGAGCCATTCAGAGTTTTAAAGGTGGTAACCACCATCTTGAATTGCATTAGATGCTAACTGGTAACTACAGCAGCTTCTAAAGCAAGGGCAAATTTACTGAAATGTTCACCCATTCCTAGCTTGAGTGTGGTTCAATCATATGATACACAATTTTCCTATTTTCTCTGACTAGCAAAGTATTCCCTGCTGATGTGAACTACTCAGGAAGATTCCAATGCATGAATTGCCCATAAAACACACCATTGGCTGCATATTGTAGCCTTTTTGTTTGTTTCTTGTACAATCTCAGCCAAGTAGAATAAAATATGATATTCAGTAGGCTGTGAGAGGAGGCTTTGATTGTGAGACATTTTGTACTCTGAAGGCCTCAAGGTCATTCATATCACTTTACAGCCTCCTCTTAGCCTTCTCCAGCAGTTATAAAAGCTTTTCAAAGGCTTCCAAGGGTGCTACATTGGCAAAGAAGCCCTTTGTGATGCTTCCAGTAGCTCTTTTTAGAGCTCCCCTCAAAATTATACTGTGCCATTTTTGCAGGACATAATGGAGGCCTCATCACCATCACAGCTGCACAGATGATAGGAAATGTTTCCATAGGGAACATTCACCCTAACGTGGAGCATTTGGTGAGAACAGGCTGTGGGGTAGACAAAATTTATATGAGATATTTTGAGCCTTCCCTATAGCCCATGTTTGAAATTCAGCAAAAATGTTAAATGAAACCACATGTGGAATTAATTACTTTCCACTGTTACATCTGGGCAGTTGCTTTGCAGAGCTGAGATGTTCTAGGTGTCCTACTTGTGGCATATAGCAAAACAGCAGGTGTCTTTTTTAAAACAAATAGCATCACCGGATGTTTACCAGTGTAACACATTTAGTCATAGCATCTTTGTTGTTTTAAAATAGTAGTATGACAATCCAGCCCTTGAATAAATCAAACAATTTGCCTCCTGAAAGAGTTCCTTTTCTTCAGCTGAACATGGACTTCAAATGCAATCCCTTTTTATCAAGGCCTTCCAGCTGCTAAATGTAGCATTCATTAACAACACTGCCACTCAAGATGAGACGGGAAAAAACCCTGAAGTAAACATTTACAGTCCTCCAATTTTTCTTCAAATGGCTGATCTCAACCTTTTCCTTCTAGGTTGGTAAACAATCTTAAACCCCTCCTGTCCTCAGAAAGAGGTAGCTTTTCCTTGCCAGCTTTCCTGGCTGGATACCATGGAGAAGAACACCAAATTACTAAGTTTAGTTCTGCACGTTCAAGTCTTTTTACTACATTGCCCTCTCTGACTGTCATTACATAGCATTCATAATGTTCTGCAAACCTTTTTCAGGGAATCTTTTTTTGTTGTTGTTTTTAAGCCTTGCTTTGTGATTTGATTATGCATGAGCTTTCTACAAAGTTTCCTCCTGAAAAATGGATGACAAGTTTTAAAATAAATCAGAACATGGAACACCTCATTTTTCTCATTTGTTTTATTTATACCCAATAGAACTAGGAGCATCTCTTCTATGTCTCAGGCAGAGTTCATGTGCATTCTACTAATTCTTTCTTAACTGGAAATGCCCAGGTTGAACCTGGCCTGTCTGCATTCCAGGCATCCACTCTACTGTTGAGCTATGTAAAGTGTTCATTAGCAGGGGAAAGCAAGGTCATGGTAGCAGTCCCTGATCCCACCTATAGATGCTGACTAGATTATATGCACAGTCCCTCTGTTATGAAAAGCCTCTCTGTGTGTCCCCTGTACAGATTTAGAGCCTTGAAGAGAAATCAAAGCATATGTGTAGGTTAAGGCAAGAGGTGGAATTGCCATAAAACAATGGTGAAACACATTCTTAAAATGCAGAAAATCTCAAATTTAATCCCAGGTATTTTCTGGAAATTCTGTTTGAAACTTTGAATTTATGCCATTCAACATCAACAGTCTGAATGGGGCTGAAAGGGCCAGTGGTTAAAGCAGAATATAGCAATTTCATGTTTCTGTGATCCTGACCCTTTCCTTTTCCCCCCACTAACTCTTCCTAAAGACACTACTGGCACCTTCCCCAGGTACCAAGGAGAGGTTGGCACATGATTAAATATGCTGCCAAGATCTCATCACCTATGATGGATGACAAAATCACAGGCAATTGGTATATTCTTCATGCCAATGTTTCTCTCATACTTCCTATCCACCCAGATTTCTTCCACTCGTTCTATTGTAAATAGCAAGGCATATTAAGTGATCTTTAATGTACAAGCTTGCATTGATAAAATTTCCTTAGCACATTTTGTTTATAGCAATACTTCTGAGACATTTCTCCCACAGCTTCACATTAACTGCTTTCAACAGGTAAAGGATGTTTTCTTCCCTTATGAAACTTATTTTAACATATTTGAATCAAGATATATTTTTTATTTATTTCACCTACTTCACTGCAGGGAAACCTTTGCAGGGATTTCTGCCTAAAAGGAAAACAAAAAACAAAAACAATGTAAGGTCTTTGCATATGCAAATGAGATATTAGCATTCTTATTAAGCACTTAGTGGATTTATTTTTGTTATTGTTATCCAAGAAATTGCTTTTTGTCCCTGACAATTTGGGCTTATCCAAATAACTTGATTACTTAATGACATATAATGCTTCTTAAAAATAATCCAATCCAGTCCAAATGCATATTGCCATTGTTGTTATTACTATTACTATTATTGTTGTTGTTGTTTTGGAGATGTTGATATTTATGTCTGCCATCTTTCAAAAGTATAGAATTATTTCCAAGCAAATATACTGATCTTTGGAATGATCAACAGGATTTTTTTTTTTCACTGCTGATATGGCCAGCTAATTTCCCATGAGGACTCTAATGCTTCTCTTTAATCTTATAGAACACCCAATGGAAGTCAGATGAATGGGACAAGATGGCCAGTCTTCACAACAGCTGAACAAAACTACTTAACATTAAGCACAAACGCTGCAAAGATTCATACAAAGTTACGTGCCCAGAAGTGCCGATTCTGGAACATCTTTTTTCCTAAAGTCCTGGAGATGTCAGGTCATTTTGCTGGTAAATATATTTGTATTCAGTAAATTGGTTAATTCAAGTTCACCTTGCTACTACTAAATTTTAATTTCAGTTTTAAGACTTGGTGGGTAAATAATATTTCTGCAAAATTAAGTACAGAGTTTATTCCAAAAAGATAATATCCTTCACTAAAATAAACCCCCATTAATTTCAGATAAGTTCTCCACCTCTACCCCCCAACCATACTTGGTGAATGGACTTCCTATTTTATACACTTGCGTTGTCTTGTGTGCTCATATGCAGTGAGGAGCATATTTTAATGATATGATCTGGATTGTGTGCACTTTGACAGTGAAAGCAGCCAAATAATTTGGATTTGGCTGGTTGGTTCTTCAAACAGTTATACATATAAGCCTTCCTAGAGGGAAAAAAGGAAGTAGTCGTCATCTGACTCATTGCTTTTCATTTGCTATTTGAGAGATTTTTACCATTTCACACCTCATGATAGCCCATTTTGGGTGTACATATGTATGTGCGTATGTGTGTGTGAAATAAAAACAAACATCCTATGTGTATGTTTCAAGCAAACCTAGATCTATGCTAGAAAAGAAGTAGATTTATCAAGACATCTTCTTTTGAATTATCAAGAATTGCTCACTAAAGCCATATGTGAAGACATCATATTTTTCCATTTAATATATTTGAAAAGTGTTACTTAAACAAATGTTCTGAGATACCAATAGCTAGGTTCCATGGTATCCATAGCTGTGCTTCCATAATAAGCTAGTGAGATGATTGTCCACAATGGGACAGGAGATGAAATATTGGACTCTTGGTGTCCTCTGAACTTGGTTGTTTTCCTGCAAATGTTTCATTACCAGGCTATGTAACAATCATCAGTGCATGGGACAGTGGAGTTTGTTGACTGTTTATATATAAAAGTTAGGGGGGGGGGTAATGAAACATCTGCAGAAAAACCAAACTCAGAAAACACCAAGAAGCCAACAGTTCAATCCTATGATAAATATATTCTCTATTATTGGAGTTGGGGGAAAAAAAAAACCAAAACACCAGAACTAGGAAACTGGACACTGGTTGGAGGGTGGGGAAAAAGGGACAAGAACTTACAGACATGCACACAGATCTTCTCTATTTATAGTGATATTTAATAATGGCCTTAGATTAACAAACTATACTTATACATTTCTATGCAGACAATTTTAAATGGAGCTTCCTACGGTGTCTTTTCTGTTTCACTCCCTCCTTTGCTCAGTCATGCAGTTTCTTTCTGTGTTTTCACTTCTGGACTCTTCTATCCAAGGGAGGAGAATAGGAAGAAGGTCCTGCTTGATCATATTAGGTGTCCAACTGCATTCTTCCTCCTTGACACACACAGTATTGTCAGTCCACCCCATATAAAACAATCTGAGGAATGGCCAACAATCTGTTCCTCCATTAATGCTCCTTAGTGCTTCTGTCCTTTTACCCATTTACAGCTAAAAGACAGGTGTCCCTGCATTCAAATATTTTAATTGGGCATGCATGAAACTTTGACATCTACATGGCATTGAGCCTGATTTTGGCCATAGGAAAAGAATCTTTAACTTGGAGACCACTACATCACCCCAAGTCCATCAGAGCTACTCACTTTCCCACACCCCTCTTCTTTAAAGTAAGGCTTGAGGAATCAATTCAAGCTTTACACTTGAATGTCCTCTGTTGTTTCTTTTGTCTTGTTTCCTTTGTGATTTCTTCCTCATTCATTTCTGAAGCTGGTTCTTCATTCAAGCTGCAAATGTTTGTTTTCTCTGGGATTCTTCCCTTGGATAAACATAGGAAGGGCAAACTTCAGTCTGTTCCACCAGTTCTTTCTCCACTGTTAACGGGCTTTCTCTTTTACATGAGGTCCATTTCTGCGGTGCCTTAACTACAGCTTACTACTTATGCTTGGGGAACTTTTCCCTTCCTCACTCAGTCTTACTTCTTGGGATTTAGGGTTACTTCCTCCTAATTCCATTCCTTTGTTAACAGCTAGTTAACTATTAACATACTGGGAAATTTGTGCCCATCACTGCATCACAAAGTAGATTAGATACAATCCCTACAGTGAGGTCTTTTGTGATTCCTTTCATTGCTAAATGGGCCTTCACCAAAGATATCATTTGTGTCTTCTCAATAATACAGGTAAGAATGTGCACCCCTGTTAGGGAGCCCCCTGAATCTATTAGTACCATTTACTCTTGGTGATACTTTTCCTTCATGTTAGCTACATTTTGAGGTTAACAGCCAATAGACTTTTCTGGGACTGGCTTGTACATACATAACATTTCCTCCCTATCTTGGATCTTTACTGCCATTTTAAAAATACTGGCTTCTTCTAACTTAGTCTTCTCTCTGTATTCCTCAGTCTACTCTTTTTTAGGAGTTTCACTTTTCCCTCACTGTCTCCCAATAACTAACCAGTTTTTTCCTTGCTTCCTCCATCCTGCAGGTGCTAAATAATTGTCAGCCACCTCTACTATATGATTGCCTGTGTCTGAATGGTGCTCTTCCACCCAAAAGTGCACAGGTCTGGGAAGATAATGTAGGAGTTGTTCTAACACTGCTTGTTCCACAATTTCCTCTGGACATTTCCCCCCTTTGGGTTATAGCCATTTACTGCCTAGGCCTGCCAGCTGAGAACATTCTTGAGCTAAATATGGACATTGCCCAGATCTCTGCTTCTATATACATTTTGTAACTTTATATCATTCTAAATTTGTCTCTTTCACTTTGGCAGATAAACCAGAATAAGCTTTATGACTTTTCATGGATGCTTATCTAGCAACCCATTCTCATTCTGGCCATGCACATGTAACTGCCAATCTTGCAAACATTATATAAAAAAAGATTTTATATCCTCCCCTTCTACTAATTTTGGGATTTTAATACCCTTAGGGCCTTCCTGTCATGAGGTGGGAAGAACATCTTGGTCCCATACCTAAAACAGGTTCTGGCATGTCTTTAAGTGCCACTAACATGTCTTTAAATTTCTCTGAGTCTCCCTTTCTAATCTCTCATGCTTCAATCGATCATGTCTTTCAGCTTCTCTTCAGCGTCTTTCTTCTTCCTACTGATGTAAGATTAGCTGGTACATTATTACCCAAGGCTCAGTGGGCTCTTCCTTTCATTCCTTTTCCTTTTGCTTAGGCTTAACTGATGGATTCCCTCCACCTTCAGCCCCTTCCCTTCAGCCCCAAGGGTTTCTGGTTTCTGTGCTACATGTTGAGTATAAGTATCTGCATGTGGATTAGCATCCAGGTCTGCTTCTAATGCTAAGATAATTTCTTGAATAAATCCATTTTTTTTTCTTTCAGTCCAGACACTTACTTTCCTTCCTCAGGCATGAAGAACCTAACATGTGTCTAGATCCATTCCAACTACTGCCATTATAGGTCAGAGGGTGGGAAAAAGGGATAGGAACTTTCCAGAAATGTGCACAGTTTTTTTTTAATTTACAGTTATATTTAATATATATCGTGTCCTTAGCTTAACAAACTGTCAAATCAGACATTTCAAACAGAGTTTTGAAACAGAGCTTTCAGCTGTTCCATTCCTTCCCTTGTTCACACAGCTTCTTGATGTGCTTTCCCTTTGGGGGTCATTTCTATCCCAGGAAAGAGGATGGGAAGATGGAAAAAAAATAACTCTTTTCCAGGCTTCTTGGATTCCAGCACTGGTGAAGGTGTCCTCACTAATGTCTGTTCTGTTCTCTGAAAACTGTAGTCCTTTCCACCAGCCAGTACAATCAGCCCTCCTGTGGTTTCTTCCTGCTGGGTCTCCAACTGCGAATTCCTCCTTCTTGACACTTACAGTGTCACCAGTCTATGTGGTACAAAAACAACTCTAGGAATGCTCTGCAACCCCTCCTCTATTTCATAATGTTTCTGCCCTTTTATATGTCGACAGCTAGAAGGTAGATATGTTTGGATCCAGATGTTTTAATCAGGCACAAAGCTTTTTACTGTCTATATGACACTGAGCCTGATTTTGCCCCACAGGGGAAAACAAAAACATTGACCACTGCACCATCCAATGTCCACTGGAGCAATTCACTCTGTCACAGCATCTGTCTTTCAGTAATTCATCTAGTTCTCCTTCTACTGGATGCAGAAATGCAAGTATGTTGTAAAATAGGAACTCTGTCAGCTTTCAGTTTCCTACAACAACCTTAGTACCTCCTTGAAAATGAGAAGACAGTTCTAATATTTATACCAATTTTTGTTCCTTTGAATTTTTGATGCAAAATTTGAAAATAGTAGGGTTCAACAGTTGGAGTTGACCACAGAACAAAAGTCCTGGCTTTCACAATATCAGCTAATTAATCAACATACTTTATTTCTTAATTGAAAGTATATGCCATTTTTCAAGATGGAATTTCCCAAGACAGCATATAGCTAAATAGCTAAAAATATTAAAACAGCACACACACATACAAACATTAAAAAGAGTAACACAATCACATTTAATAGAAGGCAAATGCAAAACAATTTTTAAAAACATTATCTAAAAAGTCTTAATATAATAAAAGGCCTTTCCTTGGTGCCAGAATAGACCATCAAGTTATATCTCTTAGGACTGCATTCCAAAATTAAGAGGGCTGCTTCTTAGAACCAACAGATTAAATATATATATATATATATATATATTTAATCTGTTGGTTCTAAGAAGCAGCCCTCTTAATTTTGGAATGCAGTCCTAAGAGATATAATTACAATTGAGAAGACATAACAAACCTATAGGTAAGCTTTGTTATTATTATTATCATTCAGCTTGAATCAATCCACTGCAGGATGAAGGGCTTTTCACTAAAGATTATGAACCATAATCTGTCTAGGACTAAGAGAGGGTGACTGGCTGAAACTCACCCAGCCTGTTTCTGTGCCTATTTGAGAAACTGAGTCTCCCTACTCCTAGTCTAGCACCTTAACCACTACACTGACTGTGGCTGTCATATAACTATAATAGGAAATACTGTGTACATAAAAGGAAAAATCTAAACAAAACTAAAAAAGGAGGATAGAAGAACATATTAAAAATGATGGGAAAAAATCAAATACATTTTAAAATCTAGGATTTTTTTTTTGTTTAGATTTCACTCCTTTTTTAAAAGTAAACCTAGATCATTTTATAATACATTGTCTGATTACACCTCTTTGTTGAAATGGTTACTTCCCTGGGAAAGTAACCAAGATAATGCAAACACTGAATCAATATTTAGAATAATACACAAATATCTTTCCAGGAGTACGTTATCGTCATCTTCACAACTGTCCAGGCATGATTTCTTCAGTTATTCGTACATTGATAAACTAAAAATCCCCCAGATGTGGAATTTAATAACACACTGACATCTTTAAACCTTAACTTCCTTCCTAGATTCTGGTTCACCCTAATAACAATATCTAACCAGGAAGGAGTACCAGTGGACACAATTATAACATATGTACTAGAGTTTCTTCAAATGCACTGTATCCCTAGCAATAAGAGGATGACAAGCCAACTTTTTTAAATATCCTTTGAGGAGCCCAATAAATCCCAAAAAGTATTTTTGCTGAATCAAATTAGTGTTTAAATTGCATGAAACACACTTAACGTTTCTTAAAACCTGAAGCCATTGATTTCTCAGTATAGGATTGAGGGAGTGCCTCTGAGAAGTAGCAGTTTAAATTAAGATAAAGGTTAGCATTTTTTCCTTCCTCTTCTTCTTCCTCCTCCTCCTCAGGGATACTTTAATTTTAACTTAATCAGAGCACTGATGATGTTGCCTAGTTGGGTAATGAAAAGTCTGCAAGCAAACAACCAAGCTCAGAGAGCACCAAGGACTCCACAGTTCAACCCTGAGCTACATATATTCTCTTCTATTGGAATACTTTAATTTAGATTTCTGTACTGTGTGGGAAGTGGAAGGAGACAGGAAGGCATAACTGGCCTATATTTAGAAAATATAAATATGTTTCATCATCAGGGTTGAAAAACAGTGGCCCTTCAGATGTTTCTTAACTATAACACCTAGCAGCCTCAGCTAGCATACAGTAACTAATATAAGGAATGCTGGGTCAGCAATTCTGGAGGGCTGAATGTTCCCTACCTCAGCTTTATATTGAAAAATGAAAGTTGATTATTTTCCCAGAAACCTAGTGGCACAGATATGATCACTAGGATCAAGATCCCACATGCAGACTATTGGATCACTTAGTTGCTATGGGTACTCTTTTGTAACATAAAATAGTAAAAACACTGCTGGTGTGTCAGAGGGCAGATTCTTTTTTTCTGTAGACTGATGATATTATCTGAATTAAGTCTGAAATTTATAATTCCACAACAATTCTTAAGATCCCCAAGTTCAGGGAATGCCAAGAGAAATAGATAGGCTGAAGGAATGGACTGTGTTTTATATAGAAATTAGTACTGTTAAGATACTTTAAGGCTTCAGAACTAGGATACAGTATGAAAAAAGGAAAGCACGCAACTATGCCGATATCAATGATGCAATAGTAATATCAAAATAGCAGCAGCACAAAAGAAATGATGGAACATACTTATTTATAATTAGAGACACCGAAAAGAATGGGATCTACATTAGTTCAGGTTTCTTAAGTTCCACTGGTTTTATTTGGTCTACCTTTAGTATGATTAGATCAAAATTCAACCCATTATTTCTAAAATCACATTTGTATAAGCATTGTGCAAAGCTTCAAATCCCTTTAAAGCTGCTTTGCAAAGCAATATAGTTTAATAAAATTGCATGAACCAATGACTGAGATAGAATACTAAAAGTAGTCCAAGGACACCTTGAGACTAGCAGTCATGTGCATGGAGGGTTCAGTAGAATTCTCTTTCCTCCTATTTATTTCTTTTCTTAAAAATCTCACTGGAAAGTGACATCTCATGTTTAGGCCATTTATTCTGTCAAGGGCCTTATAGCTCCATAGTTCTGCTTGTTTCAGATTGCAGCTGATATAAAATAGGCTTCGTTATACTTTCATGAAAATTGGAGATTTGTCCTTGCATTATTTAATTACCAAGTTGCCCAGGGTATATATGATTGTCCTGACTTCAACTTTTCAGTGCTCTTCCTGGCTTCTCATTCTTCCAATAAATCCCAAGGAAAACCTCATGAGAACAGTCCTCCAATTTGACTTTTTTTTCCCAAAGAGTGATGCTATTGTCATTATTAAGGAGATATCTTGCCTTCATGAATGTCTATAGGGAGCATAAAGTGGGAGCAATGACAATCTGTGTAATACAATGTCATTTCATAAAGGATGTGCCATGTACTTATGTCATATAATTAAATAACCATGTCACTTGTGTGATGATGTCATTGAGATTTGTGGGTACAGCTACTTATCTTGAGAAACTGTTGGATAATTTCTCCTTCCTTATTATTAACGTATCTATCAATTTAGTAGATTAAAAAATAAAATCAAAAGCCATATGTGTCTAGCTCTAGCCATTTCTTAGTGTATTCTGCCTAATTCTGAACAGCTGGTTATGTAAAACTTTCTTATTTTGCTGATCTATTGTAGTATTCCAAATCATGTTGCTATATTTTAAATACTCTTCATCAATTGATAATATGGATTATTGACTATGTCAAGAAATTAAATTTATGAAAATGTATTGCATCCCTTAACTGGAAGTCTAGATCTGGACCCCATCCATTAAACAGTAAATTGTAAGCTCCTTGTTAAATGTCAGTTGTGGGTGTGAAAGTTGAAAATGCAAATGATATGGCATATTGGGCCAGAAGAATAATTCTTCATTTTAACTGATTATGTTATAATCCAGAGTTAAAACTTTGCCCTTTGAATTTGTAATAAATCAGGTGACAGAAAGGAGGGCAAAATAGTGTGTGGTGTATTTAGGGGAAAATGGCATTGGTAATCAGGATTATTTTTCAATTAATGTACAAAGAGATTTAAATTTAGATTAATGCCACCCATTTCATGTTTTACAGAAAGTATTGATGAAGCAGAACAAGAGTGGAAAGCAGGATTCCTTCGCTGGAACAATTACATGATGGACTGGAAAAATCAATTTAATGATTACACTAGTAAGAGGGAAAGCTGCACAGGTCTCTAATTAAAAGTTTTAGCCTTTCTGGAATGCTTGTACTGTCAAAGATCAAGGCAAACATGGAGATAGTTAATGTAGCATATCTAGCAATAAGGCATATTAGGCAGGCTCAGTGACCCATCACAAATGTACCATTCTTCTAGGCCCATTTCTATTTATATCAATAATGGTTATGAAAGCACTTCCACCTTTTGAAGTCTCAGGAAATGTAAAATGGGATTAAAGCAATTAAAGTTAGAGGATGATTGACGTAGATATGATGGCCCCAGTCCAATTGTAAATTATACTCTTTTAAAAAAAATGTTAGCATCAAACTGGTTGTACCAGCTATGCATGCCAATTTTGGTACGCATTGGAATATGCCCCTCACTCAAGGCAAAGCTTCACAGGCTAAACCCTCTTTGGCCATTTGTCAAATGGAATTGTGTACCTTCCAGGAATGTGCATAACTAGCTCATTCTACTCCTATGTCCACATTGACCAGAAACATCTGCAAATAGGTGTTTGAATGAGTGTGGTAAGAGTGTGATGCATGATGTGGAGACACTCAGTGAGCACTAAAACCAGGTACAGTCTCTTTACAAACCTTCTGGTTTGACCCAGGAAGATTAGTAGAGAAAGGGGAATATGACCCATCGCTACTCCATAACCAGCCTTTCCAAATCCCTGAAAAAAAGCTTCATCTGATCTACAGCTCCCACAGTCTTTTCATTTGCCCAAGATGACTGTCACTAATAGAAGTTGACACCTGAAACATATCATGGCTATCAGGTTCCCTATGCCTAGACTACATCCTCATTTAGGTCTACATTCAAATGCGTAGCTGAATGCACCTCTTACTTAAGCTGCAATTTAATTATGCAATTGTAATTAACCAGATTTGGGTAAGAAAACTGCTGTTCAAATAAGCATTTTCAATGTGATAACAAACACAACTGCTTTTTATCTTTAGTGCAGCACAGAAATATCAGTACCAATATAGCAAGCCCAAAAGGCTTAGATTCCAATGTCGCAGCATTTTAATCTTGCTTCAGCTGTAGTATTTTATGAGGGAGAAAATATAGAGAACTTTTTTCTTCCCTTCCTTAGATCTTTGTCCTCAGTGGTCACAATCATCACAGAAAACAATAGGTAGTACAATAATTGACTCAAAGCTTCAATGCTCTTGGCCCTTAATACATTTCTCAGTTCCGGTACAACTAATTAGAGGTATACATTGCTGATTGACACAATTTTCCTAACTAATGTAAGCAGAGAGGCTATCTAAATTAGTAATCAAATAGCTACCAAAAGCTATCTTTTACCATCTTGATTCCAAAAGATATCCCAATGTGAAAAAGATAGCCAGAGAAATAGCAGCAGAAAATAAGAAACAGGATGGCAAGCTGCAGAATGAAGATGCTCTCACACACAACACACAGACACATCATCACATACACAACACCTCTTTTCTATTTTGTAACCAAAAGTGTTGGACTCTGACCAGCCCTTTTCTATCAGTCTTGTCATGGTATAGTATTAAAATTTAAAGGAGATTTGGGGGGGTCCAGAGGGAGGGGGTTTGGGGCAATTCCTCAACAGGGAAGTTCAAGTCCTGACTTAAGATATTTTTTATTCATCAGTCATATTTGATCCCTTTCTCCTTATATCAGGCCTTTGGTATCCTGCCATGATGTTGTACTTTCTCACTTTTTAGTGATAAAAATCATGTTTCTGGATGGACTGTATGTCTCATAGATCATTACAATGATTATCATAATGGTCACTGCAAGAGATTACTGCTAAGTGTGCCTGCAATGAAGTGATGTTCCATACAAACATGGATTCTCTCTGCTTCAGCTAACCCTTAACTTTTGCATCTCCAAATATCTTTCACACAGGTAGTTGCTAGGAAGTGTGGTTAATCGGTATCACCAACTTTATAGGGAAAAAAGCTTTTGTTAGAGTGGTTAAATCAAAGAGAGTTTAAGAGTTGTTAAATTTCTTGCTTTTATGAGAAAGAAACATTCCGAGGATCAAAAACTCATTCACAAATCATATTAGTTTTCCCTATTGGAGCCAGAGAAGAACAGAATGGCTTCCTTGAGCTGGATCAAATGGAACACTACAACAAGAAACATTTTTCTCCCTGTAATCTCATTCCTCTAGGGCATGTGCTGAAAATGTTTATCTGTACTTCTCATTTGCAGAATGCTTTGCAATTCTCAATTTATTTGTTCTTGTAACATCCCTGTGTAGTAGTTCAGCATTGTTCCTAGTATACAGTTTATTAACAGCACAGTCTTGTAGAGGTTTATTCACAAATTTATCCCTCTGAGTACAATGAGACTTATTCCCAAATAAATTAATAGGGCATGTGGCAGATAAACTTTAGAACTGGTAGGGCTTCTTTGGGATTTTCAAATTGCCTCTTTCTCTGTGTATACATGAGTTGTGCTGTAAGAAAGGAATTAAGAGTTTTGGCTGGGAAACTGTGATGGAATGGCATGGGACTGGAAGGGAGGTAAAGAATGTGATCTCGTCTCC